AATATGCGTCTTTTTATTTCATGGCTGCAGTCACCATCTGCAGTGATTTTGGGGCCCCAAAAAATAAAGTCTGACACTGTTTCCCCTTCTGTTTGCCATGAAGTGATGGGACCAGATGCCATGATCTTAGTTTTCTGAATGTTGAGTTTTAAGCCAACTTTTTCACTCGCCTCTTTCACTTTTATCAAGAGGCTCTTTAGTTCTTCTTCGCTTTCTGCCATAAGGCTGGCATCATCTGCATATCTGAGGTTATTGATATTTCTCCCAGCAATGTTGATTCCAGCTTGTGCTTCATCCAGCCCGGCGTTTCTCATGATGTACTCTGCATATAAGTTAAATAATCAGGATGACAATATACAGCCTTGACATACTCCTTTCCCTATTTGGAACCAGTCTGTTTTTCCATGTCCAGTTTCTAACTGTTGCTTCTTGACCTGCATACAGATTTCTCAGGAGGCAGGTCAGGTGGTCTGGTAGTCCCATCTCTTTAAGAATTTGCCACAGTTTGTTGTGATCCACACAGTCAAAGGGTTTTGCATAGTCAAGAAAGCTATAGCAATTAGGCAAGAAATAAATAAAAGGCATCCATATTGGAAAGAAAGAAGTAAAACAGTCACTATTTGAGGATGATATGATTTTATATATAGAAAATGCTAAATACTCTACCAAAAAAACTATTAGAAATAATAAAAAACTTGGCAGGATACAAAACCAATATGAAAAAAAGTCTAAAATTTTCAAATCCAGGAGTCTAACTCTACACAGTGATCTAGTAACATTGGTCACAAACAGAGAAGAACAAGGAGTAAGAGCATACATTGGAGAATGGATAGTTTCATCTTCAATAAATGCTGTTGGGAAAACTGGACAGCCACACACACACACACACACACACACACACACACACACACAAATAAAACTAGACAACTGTCTCACACAACAGACAAACATGATTTTAAGTCCTGAAGCTATAAAAACTCCTAGAAGAAAATATAGGCAGTTCATTCTTTGACATGTCTTATCAATATCTTTTTGGATATTTGTTCCTAGGCATGAAAAACAAAAGCAAAAATGAACTAATAGGACAACATCCGACTAAAAAGGTTCTTCACAGCAAAGGAAACCGTCAACAAAACTAAAAGACAACCTACCAAATGGGAGTAGATATTTGCCCATGTGATATCTGATAAGGAGTTAATATCCAAAATATATAAGTAACTTACACAATTCAATAACAATAGCAAAAACTGATCTAAAAAATGGGAGAGAAGTCAAATAGACATTTTCCCAAAGAAGACAGACAAATAGCCAAGAGGCACATGAAAAAAATGTTCAGCATCACTTATTATTAGGAAAATGTAAATCAAAACTTCCCACCTGTTAGAGTACCCATTATAAAAAAGAAAAGAAATAAAACGTGTTGGTGAGAAAGTGGTGAAATATTTATTGGTGGTGCAGCCACTGTGGAAAAAAAGTATGAAGATTCCTCAAAAAAATTAATAATGGAACTACTATATGATCCAGTTGTACCACTTCTGGGTATTTATTCAAAGTGTGTAAAAATTAATTCACAAAGGCATATGCACCCTCTAAGTTCATCACAACATTATTTAAATTAGCCGAGATATGAAAACAACTCAAATGCCCATCAATGGATGAATTGATAAAGAACGTGTGACACACACACAGACACAGACACACACACACACACAGAAATAGTATTCAGCCACAAAAAAGAAAAATAATGCCATTTTGCAGCAACATGGATGGACCTTGAGATTATCATACTAAGTGAAGTAAGTCAGAAAGAGAAAGACTAATACCACATGATATCACTTATATGTAGAAGCTAAAAAAATACAAATAAAGTTATTTACAAAAGTTGAGTAAATTCACAGACATAGAAAACAAGCATGGTTACTGAAGTGGAGGTGGGGGATAAATTAGGAGTTTTAGATTAAAATATGCCCACTGCTATATATAAAATAGATAACCAACAGAGATCTACTGTATAGTATAGGGAACTAAACTCAATATCTTATAATAACCTATAAGGGAAAAGAATGTATAAAAGCAATGTATGTATATATATTGAATAATAGTGGGTTTTTACAAAAATTTTGCAGAAACCAAACTTTTGCCCAACTAGTAATGCTGGGCTTTCCTTGTAGCCCAGCTGGTAAAGAACCTTCCTGCAATTCAGGAGACCCCATTTTGATTCCTGGGTCAAGAAGATCCCCTGGAGAAGGGATAGGCTACCCACTCCAGTATTCTTGGCTTTCCTGGTGGCTCAGATAGTAAAGAGTCCACCTTCAATGTGGGAGACCTGGGTTCAACCCCTGGGTTGGGATAATCCTCTGGAGGAGGGCATGGCAACCCACTCCAGTATTCTTGCTGGAGAATCCCCATGGACAGAGGAGCCTGGTGGGCTACAATCTAGGGGGTTGCAAAGAGTCAGACATGACTGAGTGACTAAGCACCGCACAGTGATGTTAAATTTTGCTTATTGATTAATTGGCTTCTAAAAGCAAAGCCCATTGATATGTTTTAAAAGCTTCTTAACTCAGAATTCCTTCTGTAATACACCTAAGCTGTGTGCAAGCTCGGGTGTTAACTTTTTACACAAACTTCATCATATGTTCTCTGTTCTTCATGTGTTTACAGATTTATATAAAGAGATTACAACTCTTGAAAAGATCAGAAATGATAAGATGCCTATAAATGAACTGAGCTCCCAACTCTTGAGTGCTGGAGTTCCTTTATGCAACAAGGCATTCCAGGAGATTCTGAATGAAGCATCTACTGATGGTGAGTTTTTTGAAAGAACAGTCTGTACTGAGCTTTATGAAAACTTACTTTTACTGTGTACATGGGATATCTGTTGTGTATGTGTATATTTTAGACGCACTAGTTCTTAGAAATATAATGAGAACATAGGCATATTGAAAACTAATTAAAATTAGCTTTTTCTGGAAACATTTTCTGGAAATATTTTGAAGATATATCTGTTTCTCTGGCATCAAATCTGTAAAATATATATATCAATATTTAATTATTTAAGCTGAATAAGTTAATATAATTAGATTTTCCCCCTTCCTTTGAGAGAAAAGATTATGGGTAAAAGTGTCTTAAATTAATTGGTTTTTATCCAACTACTTTTCAGAAATTATAAAATTTGCTCACCCACCTCTCTCTGTTATAGTTATTTAATAATTATTAGCATTTACAACTTGCCATTTCATAACCCTTATACTTTACTTTTTAGAAACTGGTGAAGTAAATCTCAAACAAATTTTGGAAACTTTTAACACAAGTAAGCCAGTTTCTGAATTTAAAGGTGAGTAAATAACTCTTTCCTTTTAGATATTTGTCATAGTTTGCATTGTATTTTGTCATTATTATCAAGTGCTGTTGTGAGTTATAAATGGCATACAAATCAACTGTATATTTTTATGATTAAAGTGCACAATTTGATAAGTTTTGACATATACATATACTTATGAAACTGTCATCACAGTCAGTAGTGAGCACATTTAACCCCTAAATTTCCCCACGTCACTTTGTAATCTCTCCTGCCTTTCCATATCCTTCTTCTTCCCGTCCCCAGGCAAGCACTGATGTACTTTCTGTCAGTAGAGATTTGTTAGCATACCCAGAGTTTTATACAAATGGAGTACTCTTTTTTTTTTTTTTTTCAGTTTTATTTATTTATTTATTTTGGCTGCTTTGGGTCTTCGCTGCTGCTTGCAGCCCTTCTCTAGTTGCCATAAGTAGGGGCTACTCTGTTGTGTTTGTAGGGCTTCTCACTGTGGTGGCTTCTCTTGCCGAATATGGGCTCTGGGGCACGCGGACTTGAGTAGTTGCTGTGTGTGGCTCAGTAATTGCGGTTCCTGGGCTCTAGAGCACAGGTTCAGTAGCTGTGGTGCGTGGGCTTACTTGCTCCATAGCATGTAGGATTTTTCCCGGTCAAAGTGATAACCCTTGTCTCTTGTGTTGGCAGGCATATTCTTTACCACTTAGCTATCAGGGAAGACCAATAGTTGTACTCTTTTTTTTTCTGGATTCTTTCACTAAGAATAATTATTTTGAGATTAATTCATATTGTACCCTGTATCAATAGTTTATTCTTGTTTATGACTGAATTGTACTCCATTTTATAGATATACTGTGATTTATTTACTTACCTACTGATACACATTAGGTTGTTTCCAATTTTTGCCTATTACAAATAAAGTTTCTATTTGTGTAAGTTGTTATATAGACATATGCTTTAATTCTCTTGGGTAATTGCCAATTATTGATTGGATACTAGGTATGTATTTAACTTTTTAAGAAACTGCCAATTTCCAAAGTGTTTACACCATTTTACATTCTCACCAGCAATGTAACAGAGTTCCACTTTTTCCAAATTTTTGCCATTGCTGGATATAGTATGTCTTTTAAATTTTAATCTTTCTAATAAGTGTATAGCTGTATCCATTGTGGTTTTAATTTGCATTTCCTTAATGACTAATGCTGTTGAGCATCTTCTCCTGTGCTTACTTTTTAGCTGTATATCTTCTTTGGCAAAGTATCTGTTCAGAGCTTTTGCCCACTTTTTCAGTTGGATTTTTAAAAAACTTCTGTAAATATTCTGGTTACAAGTCTAGTATAAGACGTGTACCTAGCAAATATTTTCTCTGAGTCTTTTGCTTATCTCTGTATTTTCATTTTCTTAACTGTCTTTAGAAGAGCATTAATTTTGATGAAGTCTAATCAAGTTTTTTCTTTTATGCATTGTGCTTTTGGTTTTATGTATATGAAATCTTTGCCTTACCAGAGGTTAAAAAGGCTTTTTGGTATGTTTTATTCTAAAATTTTATGGGTTTTCATTTTGCATATTAGGCATATGATCTATTTTTAGTTAAATTTTGTATATGAAGTAAAGTTTGAATCAAAGTTCTTTTATTTTTTTACATATGGATATCCATTTGTTCCAGTACCGTTGTTGAAAAGACTATGCTTTTTCCACTGATTTGTCTTTGTACTTTTATAGAAAATCACACACGCACACATATACACACACACATGCATATATATATACACACACACAGTTGACCATTGAGCAACACAGGTTTGAATGGGTTGGGTCCATTTATACATGGATTATTTTGAATAAATGTATACTATAGTAGTATGCAATCCAAAGTTGATTGAATCTGCAGATATAGAACTGTGAATATGCGAGACCAACCATAAAATTATATGTGGATTTTTGACTGTTCAGAGGTCACTGTCTCAAACCTCACATTATTCAAAAGTCAAATGTATATATATGGCTTCCCTGGTGGCTCAGATGGCAAAGGATCTGCCTGCAATGCAGGAGGTCTGAGTTTGATCCCTGGGTCGGGAAGATCCCCTGGAGAAGGGAATGACTTACCCACTCCAGTATTATTGCCTGGAGAATTCCATGGACAGAGAAGCCTGGCAGGTTACAGTCCATGGGGTTGCAAAGAATCAGATATAACTGAGCAACTAACACACACACACACACCACACGTATAAATATATATTCCCAGATTCTCTGTTCTGTTTTATTGATCTTTTTTCTATCTTTACACTAATAACAGCATTGCCTAATTACTATAACTTTCTAATAAACATTGAACTCCATTAGATTGTATCAGTTCCCCAACTTTTCAAAAGTTGTTTTGGCTACTGTAGGTCTTTTTACATCGCCATACGAATTTTAGAACCAGTTTGTAAATTTCTACAAAAAAGCCTACTGGAATTTACTGGAGAAATTAGGGAGCTCATGAATTAAGATTTGTTTGAAATTTTTCTTATCTAATAAATTATTCCTGCAACTTTTTTGTGTATTTGTATTTTTCCCCCTTGAAAACTTTTTTCCTATAATCTCTTAGGAAACTAGGGATTCTGATCCGATTAGTGACTTTGAGTGTACGATGATTTGTATAACTTGGTGATAAAGCAGTTAGGGACATGGGTCTAATCCTCAGGATCCTGTTTAGAGGAGAAAACTCCTAGAGGTTTAGCTAAGACCCAGAGGAATGCAGAGTGCTTCAGCTTGAAAGAACCTCTAGCATTTTTATTTTCCTCAGAGAAAAACCCTTTTATCTATTTCCTATAATCTTGAAACTTTTCGGTCTGTATTTCATCTACATTTGTGGCATTTGACCCTTGTATATAGATATCTCTTAGGTTAAGAAGTAAAGGCCATTTCTACTTTTAGTCAAAATATATTTCTAAAAACACTACTCTCGCAGTTTTGGGGTAATTTTAAAAGAGAGTAAGAGTTATGAGGACTAAGGAAAAAAAAGGAAGGAAAATATTTTTAAATAGAAGAAAATTCAGGGATAATAGCTTTATATTCTGAAATTTGAATAGTTTCTTAGAGATAAAATCTCTAAGAAATCTCTCTCACTGACAAAAAAAATTGAACATTTCCTTACAAGATGCAATAATGGCTATATTTAGATTTTTAAAAATTGTTTGTTTTTTCAGCTAAATTAGAAAAACTCAGTCAACTTTTTTTGTATTGAGTCAAAAATAACTTGTTTCTCAGGGAAATTCTTGAAACAAAAGATTATTTTTGTCTTATTAATTTTGGAATCATAGAGATACAAGTTAATTGAGATACATGTTTGGACAATAGTCTAGAATTTTAGGTACATTATTGTTCAGAAGTTTCCAAAGGATATTAAGTGACTTACAGAATCCCCATTTGCTTTCAGATATACACACTGCCCTCAATACTGTCAGCTTGATGAACCGCAACAGAATTCAAGCTAATGACTTAAAAGATGCTTTTGATGAACTCAGTGTTTCTGTAAAGCCTGAAGAACATCAGATGTTAGAGAAAACCCTTGACATTGATGGTATATATAGCAAGTATAAGTTCGTTTTCTGGACAAAGTGATGTAATTTTAAAAATTTCCCTTCCTTATCTTCCACTCATCACTCTCCAACTCCCCAGCAACTTTCTTTTTATTATTCTGATGGGGAAAAAAATACTCTAACAGAGCAACTCTACTGAGGTCATGAATTTATCTTGATAAAGAAGTCTTTGAATAAAACTAGTAAGGTTTTTTAAAGCCTATATAGCCCCATCAAATATTCTGTGTTGACTCCATAAGGGTATATTTATTTGTTTGTGTGATTTTAGCACCTACAGCACTATAGAAATCAGGAAAGGTAAAGTAATTGAGAAGGTTGTGCTGATGTGAAACTGCTTTTGGCCAGGAAAATATTAGAAGAGGACTTTACTCCCCCTGCGTGAGATATTTATGGCATAAGGTTGATTAATGTGAATCCTAAGAGCTTTCAGAAAAAACTACATATAATTTTCAAATTTTGAAAATTATGTTTTTAAATTAACTTAAAATCAGTTTCTAAAAATATTTTCTTTTTTACATTATGAGTTTTTGACTTGCTTCATCAGTAGTAATGACTGGGGCTAATGTGTGGCACAACTTCTGGGGCACATTGTTATCTGAGTAAACAGGATTCCTTGGTGTTGTCCAGTGCCTGTCCTGAATGACTAAGTGTGGCAGACTTGATCTTGAGTGCCTATTATATGTAAGGTGTCATGTAATATGTAATCAAACAAATATATTTATATTTAGGAATCTTTTGGTCTAGCTAGTAAGGCAAGATGTAAACAACAAAAGAGTATATTACAATACAGAATATAAAAGTTCAGTGAATGTATAATGTTAATGTGGCAGAATTTGAATAATTTCCAGGGAAATTGATATGATATTGATTTATAATAAGAAATATATATTTAGTCTCTGCCCTCATTTCTGGGACAGAGCTCCTAAAACTTTTATAAATTCCTAAGTGATAAGAGCACTAGGAGTATCTTTTGTTCTAATGAGACAGCTCTGGTGGGGCTCCTGGATGTGGGCTGGAAAGACCAAGCCAAGATTAGAAGCTTAGAATTTTCAGTCCATCCCACCCTTGCTCCCATGATGGAAGAGGGACTGGAACTTGAGTGAATAATTGATTATGCTTTTGTGAGGAAGCCTTCCTTGAGATCCTCCCAGATATCACCTTATATACCTCTTCATCTGGCTGTTCTTCTGCGCACTTTATCATACCCTTTAATAAACTGGCACACATAACTAACTGTTGCCCTGAGTTTTGTGAAGTGCTCTAGCAAATCACCCAGCCCAAGTGGGAGGAGGTCATAAGAACACCCAGTTTGTAGCCAATTTGGACAGAAGTTGTGGGTAGCCTGAAGTCCTCCTACATACAAATGGCATCTGAAATGGGGGTGGGGTGTCTCGTGGGGCTGAACTCTTAACCTATGGGATGTTATTTCTGGTAGATAGTGTCAGAATTGAGTTAAATTATAGGCCATTCAGCTGGTATTGTAGAGAATTGCTTGGTGTGGGAACTCTTCCCTCATCAAACTGGTGTTAAAAGTATTGTGAATGTGGTGGTAGTGTGAAAGTAAAGGAGAAACATGTAAAGAAAGACTGAATTTTTCACACACAGGTGATACTGTGTTGTGTGAGTTCAGAGGGAAGCTATTTCATTTATTCATTGAAAGTTTATTGAGCACCTATTGCTTGCTGGACACTAAATATAAAGATAAAAAAGCTTACAGTATATTGAGATGACAACGAGAACACCAATTAAATTCTATGATACTATACCAGTTAAATACCATATAGGTAAACATTCATTGAATGTTATGGAAAGCACACACGATATGTACCTAACCCACACAAGGTTGGATAGGGTAGTCAGAAGATTATTCCCAGAGGAGATGACATTGGAGTTGAGTTTTGAAACGTGAGTAGGAAGTAGTCAAGAATTGGGAGTTCAGGGAAGGGGACTGGAAGGAGTTAGAAGGGAATGCTGAGAAATCAAAGGAACTTTAAGTAGCCCAGTAGAACTTACACCAGTGGATCTTTGACTGATTTATATCAGTATTACTTAGGGAATTTGTTAAACCCAGATGCTTTGATCTCATTCTAGATCTCTTGCTTCAGAGATATCTACATCAGATCCAAGGCACATGTGTGTGTATGTGTCTGTTTTTCAACGAACTTTGCAGTTCATGTTGAAATCATGAAATCAAAGTTTGACCATTGACTTGGTGGTGCGTAGTTGTTGAGAGTAAGGTCAAGAGCAGATAAAGAAGGGTTTTACTTTTGTTTCTTTCTGAGCAGAAGAGTTAGAACTTTACCCTGCAGGCTCTAGTGAAAGTTGCTCAGTCGTGTCCAAGTCTTTGCGAGCCCATGGACTATACAGTCCGTGGAATTACCCAGGCCAGAATACTGGAGTGAGTAGCCTTTTCCTTCTCCAGGGGATCTTCCCAACCCAGGGATCGAACCCAGGTCTCCCACATTGCAGTTGGATTCTTTACCATCTGAGCCACAAGGGAGTCATTGAAAATTCAGCATTGAAAAGTGACATGATTAATTTTGCACTTTGTAATACACATTTTGATAGTGGTGTTGAGAAAGGACTAAAGATTGTGACAACATAGATGGACCTAGACAGTGTTATACTAAGTGAAATAAGTCAGAGGAGGACAAATACCATATGATTTATTTTATATGTAAAATCTAATAAAACAAAGGAACAAATGTAACAAAACCTAAACAGAGTCACAGATACAGAGGGTAAACAGATAGTTGCCAAAGGGGAATGGAGTGGGGGGATGAGAGAAATAGGTGAGGAAGATTAAGAGGTGAAACAGTAATAATGTAATATCTTTGTGTGATGACAGATGGTAGCCATACTTACCATGGTGACCATTTGTAATGTAAAGAAATACTGAATCATGTTGTACGCATCATGTTATAGGAACTAACACAGTGTTGTATGTCAGTTATACATCTAAAACCCCACAAATTTATAGAAAAAGAGATCAGATTTGTGGTTACCAGAGGGGGATTGGGGGAGGGGGAATTGGATGAAAGTGGTCAAAAGGTGCAAACTTCTGGTTATAAGATAAATAAGTACTAAGGATGTAATGTACAGCATGATAGATACAATTAACACTGTTGTGTGTTATATATGAAAGTTGTTAAAAGAGTAAACCCTAAGAGTCCTCATCACAAGGAAAAACATTTTTTCTTTAATTTTGTATCTATATGAGATGATGGATGTTCACTAAACTTATGCTAATCTTTTCACAATATATGCAAATCAAATCATTATGCTGTACATCTTAAACTTATATAGTGCTGTATGTCAATTATATCTCCAAAAAAAAAAAAAAGGAATTAAAAAAGGGCTAAAGGAGGGTAAGTTTGAAAGTAGGGAGACATTTTAAAACTCATAGTTATCCTGGTTAGAAATCGTGAGTGTTGAACTAAGGCATTGGCTAAAGGGATGGAAAGAAGGGAACAAATACGATTTCTGGGAGGCAGAACATCATTGTTGTTTAAGTTAGGGAAGACAGAAGGAGAGGAAATAGGATGAATAACATATTTCTGGCTTGGGAGACTTACTTCATGATGATGCTTTCTAATAAGATAGGGAATGTAGGAGGAGGATCAGGTTTTAGTGCAAAAATGAGGATAACATTGTGTCTGAGATGCTCGTGGACGTAGAATTGAAGACATGCTGTAGATAGTCTAGGCTAGAAATAGAAATTTGAGAGTCGTCAACATGTTGCTTGTAGTTAAATTCAGAAAAAATTTATAGGGTATAATAAAAAGAGAGCTAAGGATAGAGGACTGGGGCATGCTAACATTTAAGTAATGGTGAAGAAAGAGTAGTTTATAAAGGACATTAAGAAGAAGTAAGCAGAATGGTAGGAGGGAGCCCATGAGAAAGCTGTAACCACAAAACAAAGAGGAAAAAAAGTTTCAAGGAGGAAAGTGTAATATAAAACAAAAAAATTAAATGTATTTATCAGTTTGGCAGTAAATAATTAACTGGTGAACTTGGTAAAAGCAGTTTCAGGAGAAGTGAAAGCCAGATAGCAGCAGTTTGAGGTGTGAATGAGGATATGATAAAATATGAATAAAGACATTTCTTTTCAGGAATTAGGTTGTCAAGGAAAGGAAAGAAAGGAGCAGTAGCTGGAGGGCAATATAGGCTCAAGGGAAGGCTTTCCTGAAAATGACTTATGGTCTGGTTTTGACATGAATAAGATCTGGTTAAGGACAGAATGGGTACCTTTCTGGACAAAAGTTTACAGAGGTAGAAACTCATAAGCTACTTTAAGGGAACCAGTGTAACTCATTGTGGAAGTCCTTTATGTTTCTTGAATTGATCAATTTATCTTTGTACTGTTTTTGTCTTTACAGAAAAGGGGCATGTTTCCCTGAAGTCTGCCCTATTAGCACTGAAGAGCAGTAAGCGTTTTCAAGATTTTAGGGGTGAGAATAATTAGGGAGTTTTATACACATTTCAAACATAGATAATACTTACCGTAATTGTTGATAAGTGATGGGCCACTTACATAAAATCATAAGTGAAGTGAAGTGAAGTGAAGTCGCTCAGTTGTGTCCGACTCTTTGCGACTCCATGGACTGTAGCTTACCTGGGCTCCTCCCTCCTTGGGATTCTCCAGGCAAGAATATTGGAGTGGGTTGCCATTTCCTTCTCCAGGGGGTCTTCCCGACTCAGGGATTGAACCTGGGTCTCCTGCATTGCAGGCAGATGCTTTAACCTCTGAGCCACCAGGGAAGCCAAAATCATAAGTAACACACTACAAAATTAAATGAGTGGTATACATTTAATATTTTAGGAGTTCAGATGAAGGTGAACTTCAAATGTTCACTAGTTTAACTTTTTTTTTTAGTAGAAAGGGAAATAAAGTGATCAGGTCAGGACCTGTGCCCCTAGCAAGGGACACAGTGGAGGAGAGGGATTATAAAGGCTCAGAGATACTTGCTGGGGAGTGAGCATTTCAAACCACACATTGGGCACCCCAGCCCTGTGATATGACATTAGGAAGATGAGTCCCCTCAGCTTGTTTGAAAACCAGTGGGACTAACAGGCTGTTGTTGTTCAGTTGCTAAGTCATTTCTGACTGTTTGTTACCCTATGAACTGCAGCACTCCAGGCTTCCCTGTCCTTCACTGTCTCTAGAGTTTGCTCAAACTCATGTCCATTGAATCAGTGATGCTGTCTAACCATCTCATCCTCTGCTGCGCCTTTCTCATCTTGCCCTCAGGCTTTCTCAGCATGAGGGTCTTTTTCAATGAATCAGCTCTTCGCAACAGGTGGCCAAAGTATTGGAGCTTCAGCATCAGGCCTTTCATTGAATATTCAGGATTGATTTCCTTTAAGATTCACTGGTTTGATCTCCTTGCAGTCCAAGGAACTCTCAAGAGTCTTCTCCAGCACCATTGCTTGAAAGTATCATTCTTCCACATTCAGCCTTCTTTATGGTGCAGCTCTCACATCCATACATGACTGTGGGAAAAATCATAACTTTGACTGTATGGACCTTTGCTGGCAAAGTGGAGAAGGGCTGTTAGAAACTTAGACCCTGCTTGTGAAAAGCATACGCATGCTTGCTTATTCCTTGGGACAAGGCAAAGGAAGCAGATTGAAACTGCCTGGGACTCTGGCTAGTTTCCTGTGACCACTCCAGTGCAAACCCTGGCCCATGCTGAGCACCTGCTCTGGCCCCTCTGACTCTGGTGCAGTTCTGCTCTAGGGAGAGGGTTGCCATTGCTGAGAGGAGTATACACTTGTGCCAGGAGGAGCCAGCACGGCATCTGAACGGGGTGAGGGCAGCCGTTATTGGTATTCACAGAGGGAGCAGATTGGGAGGGTCTGGAGCTCTGACTGAGCATATGAGAAGCTCTGGTTCACACCTGGCTCTGGCTCTAGCCCCTCCATTCCCAGTGACACATCACACCAAGGTGATAGCTGCTAGCACGTGTTTGGGGAAGACATGACCCTTGCTCCCATCTTCTAACTCTTCCACCAAAGCCACATGTGAACTGTATAGGGGCACTCTCATACAAGGACACCCCTTTAAGCCTGAAATAGGTGACTGTTTCACCTAAATTCATAAAGACAGAGAATGTTAAGCAAAATGAGAAGACAGAGAAATTTGTTTCAAACAAAAGAATAAGAACCCCACCCCTCAAAAAACAAGGTGCTAGGTGCTCAGATGCTTAGTCATGTCCCACTCTTTGTGATCACATGTACTGTAGCCTGCCATGTTCCTCTCTCCATGGGATTTTCCAGGCAAGAATATTGGAGTGGGGTGCCATTTCCTCCTCCAGGGGATTTTCCAACTCAGGGATCGAACCCTCATCTCTTACATGTCCTGAGTTGTCAGACAGATTCTCTACCACCAGCACCACTAGGAAAACCCCTCCCCCAAAACAAAGTAACAGACAAAAATTTGTCACATAAAGTATTCAAAGCATTAGTAATAAGAATACTATCTGAACTGGGAAAAGAATAATGAACATAGTGGGAATTTTAACAGGCAATCGGAAATTAAAGAACTAGCCAGGGCTGAAGAATATAATACTAGAAATGAAAAACACACTAGAAGGAATTGACAGCAGACTAGGTGATAGAGAAGAATGCATAAGTGACCTGGAAGATAAAATAATGGAAATCACCAATTCAGAATAGCAAAAAGAAAACAAAAAAATCAACAGTTTAAGGGTCCTTTAAAACAACATCAAGCATACTGATACTCTCATTTTAGGGGTGCTAGAAGAAGAGAGAGAAAGGGATGGAAGATATGTTTGATGAAACTATGGCTGAAAAATTCTTGAACCTGAAGAAGGAAATAGGGAGAACCTTTGCAATTGTGATTATCCTCTGTTGTTGTTCCTTCTTATTTAAAAAAATTTATTTTGACTACTCATAAGCTGCTTTAAAAAACATTTGTTTATTTATTTGACTGTACTAGGACTTAGTTCAGCTTGCTGGGTCTTTTTTTCTAGTTGCAACAGGCAAACTCTTAGTTGGGGCATGTAGGATCTAGTTCCCTAATCAGAGATAGAACCCGGCCCCCCTGCATTGGGAGCATTGAGTTTTAGCCATTGGACCACCAGGGAAGTCCTGATTCCTTTTTTATATCTTTAGTTGTGGCAAATCTTTTCTGTTAGTCTTCAGATCATTCTCATAGATGGTTGCTCTGTAAATAGTTGTAATTTTGGTGTGTCTGTGGGGGGAGGTAATCTCAGAGTCTTCCTACTCTGCCATATTGACCACATAAACCCCCTCAAAAATAAACCAATTCTATTAGCATATTAATTAGCTATTAACATATTAAGATACGGCATCCAATCCCATCACTTCATGGCAAATAGATGGGGAAACAGTGGCTGACTTTATTTTTTTGGGCTCCAAAATCACTGCAGATGGTGATTGCAGCCATGAAGTTAAAAGACGTTTACTCCTTGGAAGGAAAGTTATGACCAACCTAGGCAGCATATTAAAAAGCAGAAACATTACTTTGCCAACAAAGGTCCATCTAGTTAAGGCTGTGGTTTTTCCAGTGGTCATATATGGATGTGAGAGTTGGACTATAAAGAAAGCTGAGCACCGAANTATTTAAACTGAAAATATTTTCTTTTTATAGAGGTTAATAAACTTGCAAATGCCTTAGACAAAGTCACCAATGAAAAAGTTTATGTTGATGATATACAATCTATACTGAGTGGCCTGGGGATTTACTTTCCAGAAGAAGAATTACAAGAGATGCTTTCATCAGTTTCTGTTGATAGTAAGTATTTTCTTTTCTAGGACATTTATTATATATAAAATTTGTGTTTATTTTCACTCATAAATCCACAGAGCTGAGTGGTAAGGAATCAAATATGAGTTCAACAACGTTAAAATTTCCCTCTAGGCTTGGGTGAGATTTTGTTCTGGATTATCTTCATATTGAGTTATCCTATAAAAGTATAATCTTCCTCTCTTCTTCCCCCCCACCCCCCTTTTTTTTGCCTCCTGAGGTTTGAATCATGGTTTATTGGTTAGGAACTGTGAAGTTGTCTTGTGCGCATGAAACAAAGGCCTAAGCTTTAGTATGATGATACATTCTACCAGTATGGTTTCCTTACAGTCCTCAACAGGCTATACTGCCGTTTTGGAGTTCTGCCAGTGGAATGTTTAGCTTACATGTACAGCCTTGTAATGTTCTTTTTCTTCTTAAGTTCTAAGTACATTACTGATAGAAAGCCAAATATTGTGTAGTTCCTGTATTAATATATCTTTGCTCATAAGTATATGTAGTTTTCTTTAAATATTATAGCTTGTTTGGTTTATGGTACTTATCATTTAGTGGATAAATTATATTCTGTGAAGACATAGGTAGTTATCATTGGATGTGTAATGCTGAAAAATTACAGGAATATAGCATCAGAGAGGAAATGTGAAAACAATGATCTCAATTGGTTAAGGTATGTGTAAAATCCATAAAATGTTCATTGGCTCTATAGCAAAAAAGATCACAAGAGTCATCATAATCATGTTCCTTTTTATAATTAGTCTGAGATACGTTTATTAGAATCAGTGTCAGAAAAATATAAGACTAACTTTGGTTTTGAAGATTTAGTAGGCATGCATATCTTCTTACTTCATACTTTTGTATCTTTGGACCAAAGACCATTCATTCCTTTATGTTTCATTTTCAGATGAAGGAAAAGTGGACTTAAAAGATTTCCTGATTAGGTTGTCACAAACTCCATATTTTACAAAAGGTTCAAGTGAGTGAGAACTTTTTAGCAATAATTTTGAGTGGAATTGTTTAGTTTTGATTATATGCATTTATGCAGTTTTCTAATGCTGCAAAGCATGTCATATGCATAACAAATGTACTTTGAATGAAGAACCAGTAAGGAATTATAGTCCTAACCTTTTCTTGACTTATATTTCCTAGAGTTATAGTATATTTTTTCATCACTCAAAAGGGGTAAATATACAAAATCTATCTGGATAATTCATCCTAGTAGTTGACTTCATGATCCAAGATGGCTGCCATCAGTTGGCAATGTCTTGGCCATTTTACTGAAATTCTGGGAAGAAGGTCAATACTCCTTTTTCTTTTTCTATGCTATTATAAACTTATTTAAATGAGATTTTATCATGGGAATATTAACTATTGAAACATATAGGAACATGTTGAAACATATAGGCTTCCTCCGTGATATTTTTTGCATTACTCCACTTCCTTAGACATGAGATATTGGGTGTAATCTGGTTTTAATGTATTCAGTTAACTGCTATCTCCAACTGATAGAGGTGTCTGTGGAAACTTCTGCATCTACTTGAAATTTAGGCTAAATAAGCCCCAATTAGTAAATTCACAACTATTTTGGATTCCTTGAGTCTCCTGGCAGCAACCCATTTTTTTGAGGTTAATTGAAATGGTTTAATTTCCCTTAGATGCTTTCTAAGGTTGAAACTGAACTAAATTCAAAAGGCTTAATTTAAATAGCTACAAAATGAAGTTGTTTTCCAGAGCCTAAGTGTTTAGGATGTGACCAAAATGGTATGTTTCCTCAATTGACAAAAGATTTTGTCCTAAATCTTTGTTTTTCTGAATGGGATCTTATAAAACTCTCCCATATATATGGTTTATAAGCAATTCTCTTATAGGGTTAATGTTTGTGACAGTATTTATCATAATACATTAAAATTTTTTTCTTACTTGAATGAATAATTTATACATAATACTTTAAAAAATAAATATTAACATTTTTTGTATTGATATAGCTGTGCCAGTCTTTCCATTGTTGGGGGGATATTTTTGGCATATGTATTGGCATGTACAGGTATCCACTGAAGGAAAAAAACTGAGGCCAGTCACATCAAGTTATGACCAGTTATGCAGTTTTTAGCAAGAGGATTACTTTTATGATTATTTGCCATAGCTTTTTTGGGGTTTCTCTGGTGGCTCGAATAGTAATGAATCTGCCCACAATGCAGGAGAACTGGGTTCGATCCCTGGGTTGAAAAGATCCCCTAGAAGAGGAAATGGCTACCCACTCTGGTATTCTTGCCTGAAGATTCCCATGGACAGAGGAGCCTGACGGGCTACAATCTATGGGGTCATAAAGAGTTGGACATGACTGAGCGACTTTCAGTACCTTAGCTTTAGTGGAATTGTATCATTATTTATGATGTAGATAAATATATGATGATGTAGATAAATATATGTTCTGAGTTTTGTGTGTGTGTGACCATCCTTAAGTCTCAACTTTAAATATTTGCAAGAGTCTTGGGTTAGCATGCTAGCTAAACATTCTGCCTAAGAAATCAGATATCCTGCACTTCAGACTTGCCTTCACTTTTGATAACTATTTATGCTAATTAGACACCCCGTGGCTCAGACGGTAAAGCGTCTGCCTACACTGCGGGAGATCCGAGTTCCATCCCTGGGTTGGGAAGATCTCCTGGAGAAGGAAATGGCAACCCACTCCAGTATTCTTACCTGGAAAATCCCATGGATAGAGGAACCTGGTAGGCTACAGTCCATCAGGTCGCAAAGAGTCGGACACAACTGAGTGACCTCACTCACTTTCATGCATCACAGCCTTGTTGTGGCGGAGACACTTGCATAACTCAGTGAAGTTATGAGCCATAATATGCAGGGCCACCCAATACAGATGGATCATAATGAAGAGTTCTGACAAAACGGTGGTCCACTGAAGGAAGAAATGGCAACCCACTCCAATATTCTTGACTGGAGAACCTCATGAACAGTATGAAAAAGCAAAAAGATAGGACACTAGAAGAGAGTCCTCCAGCTCAGAAGGTGTCCAATATGCTACTGGGGAAAAACAGAAGGCAATTACTAATAGCTCCAGAAAAATAAAGCACCTGGGCCAAAGTTGAAACAACACACAGTTATGGATGTATCTGGTGGTGAAAGTAAAGTCCGATGCTGTAAAGAACAGTATTGCATAGGAATTTGTAATGTTAGGTCCATGAATCAAGGTAAGTTGGACATAGTCAAGCAGGAGATGGCAAGAATGTATATCAACATCTTAGGAATCAGTGAACTAAAATGGACTGGAATGGATGAATTTAATTCAGATGACCATTACATCTACCACTGTGGGCCAGAATCCCATAGAAGAAATGGAGTAGCCCTCATAGTCAACAGAAAAGTCCAAAATCCAATACTTGGGTGCAGCCTCAAAAATGAAAGAATGATCTCAGTTCATTTCCAAGGAAAACCACTGAACATCACAGTAATCCAAGTCTCTGTCCTAACCTCTCATGCCAAAGAAGCTGAAGTTGACTGGTTCTATGAAGATCTGCAAGACCTTCTAGAACTAACACCAAAAAAGATGTCCTTTTCATCATAGGGGACTGGAATGCAAGCATAGGAAGTCAAGAGATATCTGGAGTAACAGGCAAGTTTGACCTTGGAGTACAAAATGAAGCAGGATAAAGGCTAACAGAGTTTTGACAAGAGAACACACTGGTCATAGCAAACACCCTCTTCCACCAACACAAGAGACTACCCTACAAATGGACATCACTAGATAGTCAATACTGAAATCAGATTGATTATGTTCTTTGCATCCAAAGATGGAGAAGCTCTGTACAGTCAGCAAAAACCAGACTGGGAGCTGACTGTGGCTCAAGTCATGAGCTCCTTATTGCAAGATTCAAGCTTAAATTGAACAAAGGAGGGAAAACCACTGCCCATTCAGGTATGACATAGGTCAAATCCCTTATGATTATAGAGTGGAAGTGATAAATAGATTCAAGGGATTAGATTTTGTAGACAAGAGTGCCTGAAGAACTATGGATGGAGGATTGTAACATTGTACAGGAGGTAGTGATCAAAACCATCCCAAAGAAAAAGAAATACAAGAAGGGAAAGTGGTTGCCAAAAGAAATACAAGAAGGGAAAGTGGTTGCCTGAAGAGGCTTTACAAATAACTGAGAAAAAAGGGAAAAATAAGCCCAAATTAATGCAGAGTTCCAGAGAAGAGCAAGGAGAGATAAGAAGACCTTCCTAAGTGAACAATGCAAAAAATAGAGGAAAACAATAATTAGAAAGACTAGAGATCTCTTCAAGAAAATTGAAGATATTAAGGGAACATTTCATGCAAGGATGGGGACAATAAACAACAGAAATGGTAAGGATCTAACAGAAGCCGAAGACGTTAAGAAGAGATGGCAAGAATATATAGAAGAACTATACAGGAAAGGTCTTAATAACCTGGATAAACATGATGGTGTGGTCACTTACCTAGAGCCAGACAACCTGCAGCATGAAGTCAAATTGGCCTTAGGAAGCATTACTACAAACAGAGCTAGTGGAGATAATGGAATTCCAGCTAAGCTATTTAAAATCCTAAAAGATGATGCTGTTAAGGTGCTTCACTCAATATGTCAGCAAATTTGGAAAACTCAATAGTGGCCACAGGTCTTCAAAAGGTCAATTTTCATCTCAATCTCAAAGAAGACCAATTCCAGAGAATGTTCAGACTCAGTATGTGAATTGAGCACTTCCAATGTACAAGCTGGGTTTTGAAGAGGCAGAGGAACCAGAGAGCAAATTTCCAACATTTGTTAGATCATGGAGAAAATAAGGGAGTTCCAGTAAAGCATCCAATTCTGCTTCATTGGCTATACTAAAACCTTGGACTGTGTGGATAACAATGAACTGTGGGAAATTTCTAAAGAGATGAGAGTACCAGACCACCATACCTGTCTCTTGAGAAACCTGTATGCAGGTCAAGAAGCAACAGTTAGAACCAAACATAGAACAATGAACTGGTTCAAATTGGGAAAGGAGTTCAAATTGGGAAAAGGCTGTATATTGTCACTCTGCTTATTTAACTTATATGCAGAGTACATCATGTGAAATACTGGACTGGATGATTCACAAGCTGGAATCAAGATTGCTGGGAGAATTATCAACAACTTCAGATATGCAGATGATACCTCTCTGATGGCAGAAAGTGAAGAGGAACTAAAGAGCCTCTTGATGAGGGTGAAAGGAGAAAGTGAAAAAGCTGGCTTAGAACTCAACATTTGAAAAACTAAGATCGTGGCATCCAGTCCCATCACTTCATGGCAAATAGAAGGGGAAAGAGTGGAAACAGTGACAGATTTTATTTTCTTGGGCTCCAAAATCACTGCAGATGGTGACTGCAGCCATGAAATTAAAAGATGCTTGCTCCTTGAAAGAAAAGCTATGACAANTTTAAGCCAGCTTTTTCACTCTCCTCTTTCACTTTCATCAAGAGGCTCTTTAGTTCTTCTTTGCTTTCTGCCATAAGGGTGCATACTGATATTTCTCCTGGCAGTCTTGATTCCAGCTTGTGCTTCCTCCAGCCCAGCGTTTCTCATGATGTACTCTGCATATAAGTTAAATAAGCAGGGTGACAATATACAGCCTTGACAAACTCCTTTCTCTATTTGTAACCAGTCTGTTGCTCCGTGTCCGGTTCTAACTGTTGCTTCGACCTGCATACAGATTTCTCAAGAGACAGGTCAGGTGATCTGGTATTCCCATCTCTTTCAGAATTTTCCACAGTTTATTGTGATCCACACAGTCCAAGGCTTTGGCATAGTCAATAAAGCAGATGTTGATGTTTTTCTGGAACTCTCTGCTTTTTTTATGATCCAATGGATGTTAGCAAATCCTTCCTCAGTAATCAGTGCAAAGAAATAGAGGAATTACAAACCTAGACAGCATATTAAAAAACAGAGAGACCACTTTACTGACAAAGCTTTGTATAGTCAAAGCTATGATTTTTCCAGCAGTCATGTATGGATGTGAGAGTTAGACCTTAAAGAAGGCTGAGTGCCGAAGAAGTGATGCTTTCAAATTGTGTTGCTGGAGAAGACTCTTGAGAGTACTTTGGACTGCAAGGAGCTCAAACCAGTCAGTCCTAAGGAAATCAACCCTAAATATTCATTGGAAGGACTGATGCTGAAGCTGAAGTTCCAATACTTTGGCCACCTGATATGAAGAGCCAACTCATTTTAAAAGACCCTGATGCTGGGAAAGACTGAAGGCAAGAGGAGAGGCGGGAGGCAGAGAATGTGACGGTTAGAAAGCTTTACCAATTCAATGGACGTGAATTTGAGCAAACTTGGGGAGATAGTGGAGGACAGAGGAGGCTGTTATACTGCTGTCCATGGATTCAAAAAAAGGTGGACCCAACTTAGCAACTCAAAACAAATGCTTTAGACTGAATACCTTCTCTAATGCTAGGTATATTTATCTGTTAAGTAAGGAAAATATTAGTACCAATTTTCCAAAGGTTTTTTGGAATTAAATGAGATGGCGTATGTAAAGGACTGAGCATTATGCCTAGCAAGCTGAGACTGGGAAGTGCCCATAAGTGGCAGTAGTCGTGAAGGTAGTAGCAATAGCAATAGCAGCAGCAGCAGCAGCTGGTGGAGTAGTAATCATTGGTCAGTACCTACTAGTGATATTTGAGTGTTTTTAAAAACATCGAACTTTGTATTTTTTTGAATATAGAACTAGAAGGTCCCATGAAAGCTCTGGCCTCCATTAGGAAAAATATGGCCAATCCTGATGACTTAGGTTCCATGATGAAAAATATAGGAGTTCCATTACCCCAAGATGTGATTCAAAGTGCACTGAAGAATGTGACTATCATGGGTAAGTATGTAATATGTTTCTAGGATCTTTTATCTTAGCTTACATGCATCTGTTTGAATTTTTCATGAGTTGTTAAAGGGTTTATCTGCTTCATGGATTATCCAAGGCTTTTATACCTACCACCCAGTTAGTTTCTAGTTATTTTCAACAGATCATACCAAGGAAGGATCTATAGAGGATGAGTGTTTGTGTGTGTGCCTGAATGATATGCATTAATCTGTCTTTCTGATTGAATATATATTCAATCTGATTGAATATAGGTATGTATTTAACTATATTTCAAGGTCAAATCCATAAATTATTTTTCAGTCTAGCAGTTATACTATAGCTGCCTACCTCTTATTTCTGGCCACTTAACTTTCCCATGTTCCCTGACATGTTGTTTCTTTCAGATGATGGGATGGTGAATTTAGAAGAGTTTATGGGCAATTTGGTCCATTCAGGATTTTCATCTCCATCTGAAAGTGAGTAAGAATTTTCATTTGAATTGAGGTAGATAATGTGTGTATCATGGATCTCTTGGGAAAACCCCAGATAGGCTTTTGAGATGGTTCTCAGCTGCTTTAAAACTGGCAGAATATTCCAATGTCATTGTTCCACACCTGTCAAATGTGTAGCACAACTGAAAAACACCATGAGTTTTAGAAAGAACTAGTTACCTCTGCTGTCTGAGGGTTTCCCTAATGGTTCAGTGGTATAGAAGCTGCCTGCAATGCAGGAGTTGCTGGAGGCACAGGTTCGATCCCTGGGTTGGAAAGATAGCAACCCATTCCAGTACTCTTGCCTGAAAAATCCCATGGACACAGGAGCCTAGTGGGCTATAGTCCAAAACAGCCAAAAAGAGTCCGACACAACTGAGAGTCTGAGCACAGCACAGTTACCTCTGCCGTCTAGTCTGAGCACTAGAGTCTTAACTGCAGTTGTCTTTCACTAAGGGCCTTTTAAAAACAGGAATTGTGTAAATAATGGGCTTCTGATACTAATTTATAACTCTTCACTAAGAAACTGATGGAAACCCTTACTGTTACTATTTGGAGAATTTTTGTTCAGGTTTGAATTTCTCTTCTTTTATTATTCGAAGTTTGTTTGCTTTGGATATTTCTTTGAATGGCTTCCCCCTTTTTCCAATCTCTCCTTATACATGAACTCAAAGTTTAATTTTAGTACTATGTTTGTCAATTATAGTGTTAAAAATACTTTTCTTCTTTTGGTTTGCACAGTATATTTGCAATCTCAAGCCTCTGTGTTTTCTGATGAGCTGCCCTTTTTTGTACTAAGGTATTGGAAAGAATGTTTTATATTTTGTATATTTAGGTGGGAAGAATAATTCTGACTTCAAGCCAAAACTGTATCCACTTTCACATCATTTCACATTGTACATCTTAACATAGTCCTTATGGTTGCAGAAGCTCAGGGTACACTTTTGATCATTTCCACATACTTTTGGATAGGTACACATATATAGTCTTGATATTTATGGAGGGATATTTTGCAGAAATGCCTTCTTTGGGGAGACTTTCTAATGAAATATCTCATCTGTTTTTGAGAACTGGCATTAAAACAAGCATCTCAAATAATAATGTAGTACCTTTTTATGATGATGAGTGGTAACTAGACTTATCATGGTGATCATTTTATAATGTATAAAAATATTAAGTCACTATGTTGTATACCAGAAACTAACATAGTATTGCAATTATACTTCCAAAACAACTCTTTTTCTTTTTCATAAAAAAAGAGATGAGATTTGTGGTTATCAGAGATGAGGAGATATTGGAAGAAAGGGGTCATAAGGTTGTAGAAGGAAATGGCAATCCACTCCAGTATTCTTGCCTGGAGAACCCCATGGACAGAGGAGCCTGGTGGGCTATAGTCCATGGGGTTGCAAAGAGTTGCACACAACTGAAGCAACTTAGCAATGGGTCATAAGGTACAAACTTCCAGTTATAAGATAAATAAGTACTACAATATAATTACTAGTGCTGTACATTATATATGAAAGTTAAGAGTGTAAATCCTAAGAGTTCTTATCCCGAGGAAAAAAATTTTATTTTTTTCATTTAATTTTTATGAGATGATGAATGTTCATTAAACTTATTATGATGATCATTTCTTGATGTATCTAAGTCAAATCATTATGCTGTGTACCTTAAGCTTATACAGTGCTGTATGTCAATTATATCTCAGTAAAACTGGAAGGAAAAAAGAAACATATCAAAAGTGCCACTGTATCTTCTGAAGAGATTGTTCATTATGCTATTTAGTGACAAATGTGAAAAATGTCTCTTGAAATTTGATATCAGAAGAAACTTTCTCTCTCCCAAAGACCAGTATGCTCCTTTGTATAAATGATAACCTGAGTTCCCTTTTCTACCTTAACTACCAGAAAGTTCAGATTTAAATTTAATTTTATTAATTGTAACTATATTGGTTTTGTTATTTACTATCTTCCTCTCATGTATTTTGAATTTTTATTTCTGTCTTAAATACATTTACTTTTCATTTAATAATTCCTCAAATTGTTTTAGGAAGTGATTGGATATAAATTATAAAATAGCATATCAAAAACTGCTATGAATCCTGGCCCATGGGACATTAATTAGTATGTCATGAAAGAGAGATCAGTGGCTAAACTTGGAAAACACTGAAGTAGAAAACAAACTTTAACAAAATTCTCTGCTGCTAGACTGTTAGAGGATTTCGCAGTTGGCACAGTGGTAAAGAATCTGCCTGCCAAGCAGGAGATGCAGATTCGATCCCTGGGTTAGAAAGGTCCCCTGGAGAAGGAAAAGACAGCCCATCCAGTATTGTTGCCTGGGAAATCCCATGGACAGAGGAGCCTGGTGAGTTACACTCCATGGGGTTGCAAAGGGTCAGACAAAACTGAGCGACTGAGTGACAGCATGCATGCACACATGAAGCTCCATCACCATTCTCAATCTTACTATCTTTACTACATACTCATTTGTCAAGGGTTACCTCAAGTATTAAAAAGCAGAGACATTACTTTGCCAACAAAGGTCCGTCTAGTCAAGGCTATGGTTTTTCCAGTGGTCATGTATGGATGTAAAGTTGGACTATAAAGAAAGCTGAGCGCCAAAGAATTGATGCTTTTGAACTGTGGTGTTGGAGAAGACTGTTGAGAGTCCCTTGGACTGCAAGGAGATCCAACCAGTCCATCCTAAAGGAGATCAGTTCTGAGTGTTCATTGGAAGAACTGATGTTGAAGCTGAAACTCCAATACTTTGGTCACCTGATGCGAAGAGTTGACTCATTTGAAAAGACTCTGATGCTGGGAAAGATTGAGGGCAGGAGGAGAAGAGGACGACAGAGGATGAGATGGTTGGATGGCATCACCGACTCAATGGACTTGGATTTGGGTGGACTCCAGGAGTTGGTGATGGATAGGGAGGCCTGGCATGCTGCGGTTCATGGGGTCGCAAAGAGTTGGACACGACTGAGCGACTGAACTGAACTGAACTGAACCTCAAGTTGGTACAGAATCCCTTGTATCACTCATACTGTTTTTTTTCTATGTTCTTCAGAAGACAATTTGGAAATGCTGTTTTGAAGAATAAAATGGAACAATTGTTTGTTGCTGATATGATAAAATAGAACCTACTTATGCATTGATATATAACTCTTGTGCCCAGTGTCTAAATTCTCTTATTAGTCTTTGTGATTTGGTAGATTCTTTAAGATTTTCTGTGTAAACAATTATGTAATCTGCAAGTAGATACAGTTTTACTTTTTTCATCCCATTTTCCATGCCTTTTATTTCTTTTTCTTGTTCTTCCTTATTTTGTTGTCTAACTCCTTCAATATAATGTTGAACAGAAATGTTGAGAGTGGGTATCTTGCTTTATTCTGATCTTAGGGGTAAAACATTCAGTCTTTCACCATTAAATATGTTAGCTGTAGGTTGTTTTTTTTTTAAGTCTCTGTTTGAAGAAATTCCCTTACTCTTTCCAGTTTACTGACAGTTTTTTTTTTTTATCATAAATGAATGATAATTTTGTGAAATTCATTTTCTGTCTTCTAAGATGATAGTTTTGTTTTTGTCCTTTATTCTGTTAACATGGTGAATTAAGATGCCTGATTGTTAAATATTGGTAAATTGTATTTAAGAAATACAAGTTTTATTTTGCAGAGTAAAAAGAGCAGAATTTTCAAACTTAAATAGAAAAACATTTTATGCATAGTGATACGGTACATTCTTGTTTTTCAAAGAAACCCTTTAGCTTGCAAACAGAACCAAAATATAATCCGTTATGTTGAAATTGTGGAAAAGCCCAACCATTAGCAATTTTGTCTACTTTTTTTTAAAAGCAGAATTCTCTTGTATTAACTTTTATATTTGTTTATTTATTTATGCCTGTACTGGGTCTTTGTTGCTTTGTGGAGAGTGGGGGCTACCCTCTGGTTGTGGTGTGTGGGCTTCTCATCTCAGTGGCTTCTCTTGTGGTGGAGCATGGGCTCTAAGCGCACAGGCTTCAGTAGTTACAGCATGTGGGCTCAATAGTAGCAGCTCCTGGGCTCTAGAGGACAGGCTCAATAGTTGTGGTACATGGGCTTAGTTGCTCCAAGGTGTATTAGATCTTCCTGACCCAGGGATCAAACCCATGTCTCCTGCATTGGCAGGTGGATTCTTTACCACTGAGGCACCAGGGAAATCCCTGTCTACTATTTTTGTATCACTACAAAATGTGAAAAAAAGTGGAGCCTGGCATGCTGCCATTCATGGAGTTGCAAAGAGTCGGTCATAAGTTGTGACTCAACTCACTAAGTTAAGTGACTGAACAGTATGTTTCATACTTATGCATTATGAGGACATTAACTTCTAGATCTCTCTGAGTATGATAGAGGTCTTTATTAGTTTAAATTATCTTTCCTTTTCTGTGTAATCTGTTTCTACAGTTAAGAATTGAGGCACTGAACTAATCATGCTTGAGAGCCAGAATAAATTTGTTTTATTTTTGTATATGGAAATTGGTTGATCTCTTTTGGTTTCTCAGATGAATGACTAAGAACCCAGTGTATATGAATGAAATATGCTGCTTGGCAAGCCTTGCTTTAGGGAGAGCTGGTAAAGCGGCTTCTTAAATGGTAGAATAAATTAAGCTTTAGTTTCATTCACCAAAATTCACCTTGACAGCTGTGGTTTTCTTTCTTTCTTACTGGAGAGTTCTCCAGTATTTTGGCCAGGAAGCAGGTGCTGAACTGCGTGTTCCTCTGTGACTCAGGGATTTTGGAAAATGAGAAAGGAGTGACTTACTGATACAAATAAATGCTCCATAGATAGGCTTTCGGTTAATCCTTTAATTTTCTGATTCTTCCTCCCTCTGCCACCTTACTTCTCCCCTCAGTATCTGCTAAAATTGAGCATTGAGTTTTTCGGGGAGTTTTTCTGGGCAAATAATCCTTTATCTACTTAGAGCCTCCTTCTTTGTAAATTCTAGACTGTGATTTCCTCTACTTTTTTTATTTATCACATTTATTTGTTTGCTTTTTTACTATATATTTCCCCAAAGTAGCATGTGAACTATTGATAGGAACTTTCTCTGTTTTGCTCACTGCCGTTGTCACTAGCATGTAGGCTAGTGTCCATCACATAAAATGACTTAAACAAATGTTTAATGAATAAATAGATGAACTAACATACTTTGTTCTCTTTCATAAATATTAAACTTTTATTCTACTTTTTCCTACTTATTTTTTCCACATATTCTTTTTGTTGTTTATTCCCTTCTCCCATCATTTTAATCTGTTTAATTGGGTCTTTGAAAGAAGAGGAGAAAAACATGTCTTCATTGCTAGATTTTAGGATATTTATGAGAATATTTTTCATGGAAAAAAAGTCTTGCATTTTGGGTAAAACAACCTATTTAAAAAATTTTGAAACCTTTATTACTATTTGGTGAATATAATCAATGATAGTAATTAATTTAAGAATTAAGTCTCTAATCAAACCACTGCCTTCAAGTTATATTTATATGGCCCAATTGTCCATGTTACTCTAATAATACCCAACAGTTTTTACTTTGTCTTTAGCTCATTTATCGAGAGCTACTGAGGCACTTCTATTTTAATCCCTATGTTCTACTGAACAGCTCTCACTGTAAAATGTGGCATTTCATATTTAAAATCATTAGAAAATCTCAATTTCATATTATTCACTTTCTATGTCTTCAAAGAAAAAATCGAGATCAGTAACCTGGATAATTTCATGGATGATATGGGAACTGAACTTACATGTAAAGAACATAAAGAGCTGGTAAATCATCTCCCAGCTAGTGGTGAGCATTTCAGTAATTTTGGTATCTTGCAAAGAATGCTTTTAGGCTTAATTATAAGAAATATTCATATTTCTCTTTAAAGTACTATAAAAGTACACAGAAATATCTAGTACCAAAGGTGTGAATGTGTATGTGTACTTTATTATTATTGTGATTTTTGAAATGAACATTCAGGCTTTAAGTGAATATTAAGATTGTTATGCAGAAAGTATTAATATCTGGGCCCTAAATATCACCAACTAAGCTAGGTAGTCTTATGAGGTACTAAGCTAGGTAATCTCATCATCAAGGTCAGTGAAAGGCCAGACCATAAGCAGGGAAAAGTAGAAAATTAGAGGAGATGGAAATGTGAAAATGAAGAATAAGAAAAGAAAACTAGTTTACGTTCTGCCTTGTAAGCTAGTAAGAATAGCCTATGGCAGAAGTGTCATGAAATTCTAATTTTATTTAGGTTAAATAGTCATAGTAATAAAGGTAGATTTCATTCATACTGCTATGTATCAGGGACTATACCTCCTTCACAGTATTATTTCAAGAATTAAGGAAATAACATAAGTAATTTAAAAATAAATATTAGGGTTTTTTCCCTCCTGTATATTGAAACAGTGTCTAAATATATATATGTATTTATGTATGTATGTAAAGAGCTTCCCAGGTGGCTCTAGTGGTAAAGAACCTGCCTGCCAATGCAGGAGATGTAAGAGACGCGTGTTCGATCCCTGGGTTGGGAAGATCCCCTGCAGGAGGGCATGGCAACCCACTCCAGTATTCTTGCCTGGAGAATCCCATGGACAGAGGAGCCTGGCAGGCTACAGTCCATAGGGTCGCACAGAGTTGGACATGACTGAAGCAACTTAACATGCATGTATGTAAAAGAAGTCAATAACTTGCTACTCTAATAAAATGGTGGCTCATAATAGCTAAGAATTGTAGTCTTTAATGAGGAAGAAATAGGTATAATCCTTGTGATTTATTTTTAGTTTGCTCATTTATTTATACAACAAACATTTATTATGGACCTTGTATGTGCCAGATAAAGATGAATTAGGTCTATTCATGCCAGTAAGGAATTTATAGTTTATTTGGAGACAGGAGACAAGTATGAAGAAAAAATGCAAATTAAAGTTCTAAAAGGTCTACGTTATTGAGAATAAATAGACAACATTTGCCATGGAGGAGGAAATGACAACCAATGGACAGAGGAGCCTGGCTGGCTATAGTCCATGGGGTTGTAAAAGAGACAAAGATGAATCAACGACTGAGCATACACAGAGACAGTATTTGGGAAAGGATGAAAAGATGGAAGGAGAAAGGGAATAATGGTTGCTTTCAGACAACTGAATCTGTTGTGGTAGTTTAGGGAAAAAAGAGCTGATGTAAAGGAGGCAAGGTTGTATTACAGAGGGCCTGGACTTTATCCTACAGGTAATACTGCAGGGGGAGCCACTATAGTTTTTCTTATCTGAGAGTGGTATCATGTTTTGTTCTCTGCTCCCAAAAGTTACTGGACTAAAGACTATAGAAGATAACTCAAGAGCTGTCTTAAATTCTAAAATGTATTTTTTCACATATTGGTCACTTTTAAGTACCATGAAAATAGCTATAGTGTATTGCATTTGGCTTCCCTCATAGCTCAGTCATTATAGGATTTCCCTGCAATGAAGGAGACAGCGTTTGATTCCTGGATGGGGAAGATCCCCTGGGTATTCCATTTGAGAAAGCAAATAATTTTTGAAAGATTTGCTTTTCATACTGATTTTTGTAACTTTAAATATTATGCCTTTTTATGACTTCCCATATCAATTATTGTTTCTGTTTAAAACTTTGTCCATCTTGCAGCTGATGAGAAGATAAATCAGCTCAAATTGATGGATACCATGAATACTCTTGAAGGTGAGTGAGTAATAAGAAGACATAAAACTAAAGTCTTGAACCTTTGCAATAATACTTTAATGAAGTGTATTAAGGTTTTGTTTATGCATATTCACAATAAAAAATCTTGGAGAATACGAGGGAAGCATAGAGAGGGCAAAAAGATAAATATCACCCTTAGTTTACAATCAAAGACAAAGATAACCATTTTTTGGTATCAGTTCTGGCAACCCACTCTAGTATTCTTGCCTGGAGAATCTCATGGACTATAGCCTGCCAGTCTACTCTGTCCACTGTGTTGCAAGAGTCATACATAACTTAGCGACTAAACCACCTAAACGACAGTTCAGTTCAGTTGCTCAGTTGTGTCCGACTCTTTGCTGTCCCATGGACTGCAGCATGCCAGGCCTCCCTGTCCATTTCCAACTCCTGAAGCTTGCTCAAACTCATGTCCATCAAGTTGGTGATGACATCCAACCATCTTATCCTCTATCATCCCCTTCTCCTCCTGCCTTCACTCTTTCCCAGCATCAGGGTCTTTTCTAATAAGTCAGTTCTTTGCAACAGGTGGCCAATGTATTGGAGCTTCGGCTTCAGCATCAGTCCTTCCAGTGAATATTCAGAACTGACTTCCTTTAGGATTGACTAGTTTGATCTTATTGCAGTCCAAGGGACTCTCAAGAGTCTTCTCCAACACCCCAGTTCAAGAGCATCAATTCTCTGGTGCCGAACCTTTTTTATAGTCCAACTCTCACATCCACACATGACTACTGGAAGAAACAACTTGCACAGAATTTTTTGGATTTGACTTTTATTCATATTATTTCGTGAATAGTAAAATGCTAATCATATTTTATTGATTGATAGATAATTTGCATCTATTAATACTGAGTTTTATGGACAGAGTCTTTATTATTGTAACAGTGGACAGTTTACATGATTTCTATATATATATATATATATATATACACACACACACACACGCATTTTCTAAATAATGTAATTTACTCTGGCTTTCTTAAAGTGGCCATATTCTTGACCTGCATGGAAACAATGATGTTATAAATCTGCAATAAGTAAATCAAATTACTTCAGTGAATAAGTAACTAGTTAGAAATCTAGAGGAGTGAGATGAAGTAGAAAGAAAAAATCCTGCTCCTAGAATAGGTGGTAACTAGTGGCAAAAAAAATTGAATTATTGGGAAGATTTCAAATCTTCTTTACTCTTTTAGAGAGAAATGCAAATCCTTATTGCACCAATGGAAAAACTTTGGCATATATGAGAATGACTTCTCTCATTGCCAAAGATAATAGCATAGTACTATTGTTCCTATCAAGCATAGGTTTAATTTCAAAATTGTAGTTTGTGTGATTTACAATTATGATATAAAAAATGGTGTCTCTCTGTGGAAAAAAGATGTATTTAACAATTTGAAGTATGTAACCACACAGACTTGTGTTCAAATACTGGCTCTACAAGCTACTAGCCGTGCAATTCTAGGCAGGTAACACTTCTCTCAGCCTCAGTCACACCATTTGTGAAACTGAAATATTGTGGATACCTAACTTATGTTATTTGAGGATAGACTGAAATGGTGAAAATATAGCATATAAAAATAATTAGATTATTATCTACATGGTGAAATTTAGTGGGCAGTTATCAACTTTGCATTTTTAAAATTTGGTTTAGGCTTGTCATCACAGGTATAATTGGTTATTACATATGGATTAATGATAGCAGATTTTATTTTGATTTTGTTATTTATTTTATATTAATTTTGGAACAAACTTTATTCTGCATATTTGTTTTTACATTGAGACTGAGAAGCACAAAGTACAGAAATAGTGTCCTTATCCCAGACATAATATATGTATGAAATATATATTTATATATGAAATATATTTTTATGTATAATATGTATTATATTTGTTGATGTTCAATCACTCATTTGTGTCTGACTCTTTGTGACCCCATGGACTACAGCAATCCAGGCTTCCCTGTCCATCACTATCTCCCGGAGTTTGCTCAAACTCATGTCTGTTGAGTCGCTGATGACATCCAACCATCTCATCCTCTGTTGCCCTCTTCTCCTCCTGCTCTCAATCTTTCCCAGCATCAGGGTCTTTTCCAATAAGCTGACTCTTCACATTAGGTGATCAAAACATTGGAGCTTCAGATTCAGCATCAGTCTGTTCAGTGAATATTCAGGGTCGATTTCCTTTAGGATTGACTGGTTTGGTCTCCTTGCTGTCCAAAGGACTCTAAGAGCCTTCTCCACCACCACAATTTGAAAGCATCAATTCTTCAGCACTCAGCTTTCTTTATAGTCCAACTTTCACATTCATACATGACTATGGAAAAACCATAGCTTTGACTGTATGGACCTTTGTTGGCAAAGCGATGTCTCTTCTCTGCTTTTTAATACACTGTCTAGTATCATCATAACTTTTCTTCCAAGGAGCAAGTGACTTAATTTCATGGCTGTAGTCACCATCCACAGTGATTTTGGAGCCCAATAAAGTCTGTCACTGTTTCCTTTTGTTCCCCAGTTATTTGCCATGAAGTGATGGGACTGGATGTCATGGTCTTAGTTTTTTGAATGTGGAGTTTTAAGTCAGTTTTTTCACTCTCCTCTTTCACCTTCATCATTATGTAAGATAATCCAATATTTATATATACTTATATAATATATAAATTGTATATAATGCACAAACATACATACATACATATATATGTAATGTATATATGCATGCTTACAGATGTATGTGAGAGTTTGTATACATATGTGTGTGTTTGTGTGTGTGTGTTTAATTTACCTCATTTTTCTTAAGGAGGGAAAGTTAATACTCAAAAGTTAAGCAATGTTCTGGAGAAGATGGAAGTGGAGCTCATAAATAAGGAATTTCAGAATCTATCAGAACATTTACCAGTTGATAGCATTTCTGTCTTTACTGATGTTTTCAGAGAAAGTCAGATATTGTATGAGGATTCATTAACCACCTTTATTTTCCCATATTGGAGTTTTCAAATGTAATTAGAAAGGTTAAATCTTAATTGCACTTAAACATCTTCTCTTGTAAGTCTTACTTGTCACCAGCAGGCAGAAGGAATATCTGAGAATGATTCAGCTGTCAGTGACATGCTTGGACTTAGGAAGAGAAAACAGACAAAGGTAAATCAGAACACAGATGAGTGGAAGTAGAAGAAAAGAGGAGGTCTGAAAGTAAGCTAGCAAGAAAGGAGGAGGGGAAGAGAAGGTTAGGCTATTGGACTTTCAGTAGTTCCTGGGCTGCAAATGGGAAGTGAATTGAAGCTGCTCAGTCGTGTCTAACTCTTTGTGACCCCGTGGACTGTAGACTGCCAGGCTTCTCTGTCCGTGGAATTCTCCAGGCAAGAATACTGGAGTGGGTTGCCATTCCCTTCTCCAGGCCAACTCAGGGATGGAACCTGGGTCTCCTGCACTGCAGGCAGATTTTTTACCAATTGAGCAAACAGGGCCTGGAAAATGCTGTTAGGCTAAAGGGCCCATAGGTGTGATATGACTCTTATTCCATCACTGCAGTTTCCTGATTCTGAGTCAAATCTTTATTTTATATTTTTGGAGTGTAATATCAGAGTTGATATATAAAGTACTTTACTGTGAAAGGTGTTTCTTTTTTATAGCTAGTGAGAAGATAGATCTAAATACACTTCTGGATGAAATTAAAGTTCTTACAGATGAGTGCAAAATTCTGACTAGAATAAAAAATCTTAATTCTTATTGATGAGCTGTTCACAATATAGAATCTGCAGTTCTTTGGTTATCTGAATTTTAATCATAGCAGCCATTGCATTCTTTGTACAAGATTTTTAACTAAGTTGAATTTTTATGGGTGATCTGTTTTGAAGTTGCCACTTTTTGAAAAAAAATGTATATTGTCTCCATAGAATTTGGTCAATAGAAACTAAACCAAAATTCAATGAAGAGGGAAAGTTTGCATTTATTAGCCAAAGTCAATGTTTATATTTCTGGCCCCAAGGAGAACTTCTTGAAGAAAATATAGGAGAATAATTTTATGACCTTACGAGAGACAAAGATTTCTTAGATGACAAAGAGTTATAAGCATGAAATTAAAAATTAATGGGTATCATAAAAATTAGAAACTTCTCTTTGTGAAAGTTAAGAAAGTGCAAAGGCAAGATATAGACTGAAAGAAAATATTTGCAAAACATGGGTGACAAAGAACTAATATCAAGAATATCAAGAACTCTTACAACTTAGTAATAAAAAGACAAATCAATAAAAGTTGGTTTATCTGTTCAATTTGAACAGAGATTTCACACAAGAAAATATATAAATGGCTAATGACCACAGGAAGGAATGCTGAGCATTATTAGTCATCAGAAAAATGCAATTTAAGTCATTATTAGGCACCACACTAAAGATCCATTAGAATAGGAAAAAATTAAAAGATGGACAGTATCAAGCATTGGCAAGATTTGGAGTATACAATATCTAGAGGGTATACTAACCACAGTGGAGATCTGTATGTCAGTTTCTCATAAAGTTGAACATAAATTTACCATAAGACCCAGCAACTTCACTCCTAGTTATTTTTCCAGGAGAAATTAATACATATGTATTAAGTGTTTGTGCATGAATATTCATAGCAACTTTATTCAGTCCATCAACCCATGTAGGGATAAACAAAGTGGAGTATATTCATGAAATGCTGCTCAACAAATGAACAATTTACTGATTCAAAACATGCTGGATGAGCCTCCAAAACATTATCTAAATGAAAGAAGACACTCGAAATAATACCTAGTGTATGATGCTATTTTATGAAATTCTGGAAGAGTAAATCTAATAACAGAAAGCAACCTGGTGACTTCTTGGGTTTATGTTTTAGAGGGATTGACTTCAAAAAAGGATTTATATTTTAGAAGGAGAATAGAAAGAATGAGTGGACTTGAAGTTAGCAAGCCATCATATCACTAATGTGAATGAAAAATGTCCTATTTATCTCTGTAGCCCTGCTGCTTGGCAAAGTGTCTTCAATGTTGAGTTGTTGAATGAATAAATGAATAAGGAATGGTTGTCTTAAAACAATAAATAAATGAAAAGTGTCCTAATTATTCCACTTTGATTTCATTTGGAAAGTCTATTGTGCAAAATTCTAGAACAAATTTTAACCTTCAAAATTTATTTATTCAATGTTGGAACCTTCCACAGTGTTAATAAATTATTAAATACTTACCTTTTATTATAGCTGAGAGAAAAATAAATCAGATGAGACCAACAGATACCATGGAGCCTCTTAAAGGTAAGATGAAAAGGCAGCAAAACAGATCCTTTTGCTTTGATTCTTATACGGTTTCCTGGTAATTAGATTGCCACCCTCTATATATTAATTATTTTTATTAGTTATTTAGATTTATCAGTTAATATACCGTGATAAACTATTTTGTATCTTGCTTTGTTACTCAGTCACTAAGTGGTGTCTGACTCTTTACGACCTCATGGATTGCAGCACTCCAGGCTTCCCTGGGCTTCATTATAGAATTCCAATTTTGATAAGTGAGAAGAAAATCAAGCTCTGGATCTAAGAAGCAAAGAGTGAAGTAGAGAACTCAGGATTATCAGCAATGGAGACTTTCTTTCTAGATAGTATGGACAACAAAAATAAATCTTATTTATTGGTCTAAAGTTTTATATTAGATTGCTTGCCTTAAGTGCTATAATTCAGTTAGTTAACATTTGCTGAGTTCTTTAGATGCAGAAGGAAGATAAAGTGGTGAATCAGACAATGTTCCTGCTTTCATGGAGATTTCATTTTCTTAGTAGATGGGGGGAAAATTAATCAAAAAATGAAATAATTTCAGAAAGCAGTAAGTGCTTCTTTTTCTATAAAAATAGAAGGTAATAGGACTAAGAGTGGCGGNGGGGGGGGGGGGGGGGGGGGGGGGGGGGGGGGGGGGGGGGTGGGGGCTGCATTAGATCAGTTAGGAAATGCCAGGTGGAGGTGGAGGCATTTGAGCTGAGATTTGGACTCAGCCTCCTTTTAGAATTTTGTGTTGAATAAGCTGTTTTTCTGGGCTTCCCTGGTGACTCTGAGGTAAAGTATCCACCTTCTGTACAAGAAGCTGCAGGGTTTGATCCCTGGGTCAGGAAGATTCTCCTGGAGGAGGGCATGGCAACCCACTCCAGTATTCTTGCCTGGAGAATCCCATGGACAGAGGAGACTGGTGGGCTACAGTCCATAGGGTTGCAAAGATTTGGGCACAACTGAAACAACTTAGCTTGTACACATGCAAGCTGTTTTTCAACATAAGCCTAATAAAATAAATTCTAATTCTAATATTAAAGTTCATTGCCAGTTGGATAGATTTTGAACATAATAATGACAATACATAGACATCGTTGTCATGTTGTACAGTGATAACATCTTCGTCATAGCCCTTTCTCTTTTCCAAGAGAGAAATGATATAAATAATCTTGACATCATTTTAGAGAAAACAGAAATTAATTTCTCTGATAAAGGAATTGAAGAACTGTCATCCAGTTGGCTAGCTGACTTTGGGGCATTATAGATTCCATTATTTTTTTTTCCAAAGGGAACTTGGGATTGTTGGTTTATGATTTCACATTCCTAAAATTCTAGTTTTTTAGTTTCCTAAAGACAATTGATATATATGTTATGAGAACTCAGTCCTATCCTAAGCAATTTCCTTTTCCTTAATTGAGCACCACCTTCACAATAATTTAGGGTATTCTGTGTTTATTGAGCTGAATATATGCAAAACCTGAGCTGGGTTCTGTAGAAGTGAGTTGTAAAATGTATAAAGCTTGGTATTTGTTCTTAAAGTTGCATTTGATTAAAGGGGAAAGATAATTTATAAGCAAAAAAATATAAGTGAAAATAACTTGGAGATTAGGAAAAATGCTTACTGAGGGCTAAGTATGGTTATTGTCAGATTTAAGAGTATTGATGCAGTATTAACTCTAAACTCCAACCCCCGCCACAGCCTGTTGATTTAATGGAATGGAGTAAGTGCTGATTTAGGAATCTGACAGATATAGTTTTCCTTCTCATACTAACTTTGTGACTTTAGAAAAATTTTTAACTTTTCTGAGGCTCGGTTTCTTTGTTAAAAAATGTCATGATAACTTAGCAGGAGTTTGAGATATGGTGTATGAAAACACCCATCACAATACATGGCTTGATAGACAGTCATTAAATTTAGTTTTCTTTCCTTTTCTGAGTGAAAGAGAGCAGATTAGAGAGGACAGAAAATCAAATCAAAATGATGGATTTGGAGGAAAATACTTTTAAATCTTTAAACTTTCATTCTAATGCTGTAAATAGAGTTTAATATCTTAGTACAGAAACCAAAAGGACATATATACTATTTTGAATACTCATTTTTTCATGATTTTATCTTGTGGGGAGGGATTATAGAAATGCAGTTGTAGTGAAAATCATGGGACAATTAATTTTTTATGCTGTTTCACAGTTAAGAATTTCATTTTGCATTTTTGAATTTTATTGTGATCTCTGTGATTTGTAAATTGTCTTACAGCTGATGGGAAAGTTGAACTGAATAAAATAATGAATGATGCTAAAGCTGTTCCAGGTTAGAAATTGATGTAAGACTGAAATAGTAGTGCTTTTAAAACATAGCTTTGCATCAGTATTCTGAATTATATAACCATCACTTTATTAACCTCTTATAACTCCTGCCACTTTATTAACTAATAAAATATTTTATTTGCAACCCTATGAACTGTAGCCCACTGGGCTCATCTGTCCATGGAATTCTCCAGGCCAGAATACTGGAGTGGGTAGCCATTCCCTTCTCCAGGGGATCTTCCCAAGCCAGAAATTGAACTGGGATCTCTTGCATTGCAGGTAGATTCGTTATCAGCTGAGTTACTTGGGAAGCCCTGAATTATGTAACCATTACCTTATAACTCCTGCCACTTTATTAACTAATAAAATATTTTCTCTAATGAACTTCTTTGAATTTCAGCATTTTTTGAAATAAAACTACTGATTTCCTGACAGAAGTCCTCCATGCTGCAGAGGTTTTACTAATAGCATGCTTCACTTTGCCATACTTTAGAAATATGAAACCTATGTTTCATGATAAAAATAATGCACAATGAAAATAATAATAACTATTATTTAGTGGGTACTTTCTAACATGTAGCCAGCATTTATTAATATTATATACATGAGGTAGGTAGTATTATAATCTATATCTTATAGATGGGGCATCAGAGTCTTAGAGGGTAAATATCAGGATAAAGTGTATGCTTTTTTGTTTTTAGATTTCACCTGTATGTTTATAGACAACCAGTCTCATAATTCAAGAGAAAATAATACTAATACTACCTATTAATATAATCATTATTGTTACTGATATATAATATAATTTCAATGGACAGTTTTATAACTACATGTCATACTAATCTGACCTGAGATTATAAGAGATTACCAGAACACAATTCCATTTTAGACTATGTAATTAACTGAAGATATCATATCTTTGTTCTCATCTATAGTTGAATTAGAGTGATACTATATAAGCATAAGTGGTATTGTACTTACATTGAAACTTAAATAATTCTTAAATGTCATTCTGGGTTCTTTTCCTAACTTCTCAAAAGAAAGAAAATTGATTCCAGTGATTTTGAAAATATTCAGGGAAACATGACAATTCAACCCACAGATAAGCTAAATGTTTAGCTACTGAAAACTTTGTCAGTGGATGAAAAACATTTTCCTTCAAGAGAGTTTTGTTTTGAGGCTTGTATATGGTAATTTCTAGATCTATACCTATCTGATTAGATATGTTAAGAAAAATATTCCCTTCTCCAGGGGATCTTCCTGACCCAGGAATCAAATCCAGGTCTCTTGCATTGCAGGTGGATTCTTTACCATCTGAGCCACCAGGAAATCCCAGATGTAACTATCTTGAAAGGGAAAATGTTTGTGATTTAGTTTTTAGTGCATTGATGCTAGCAAACCATTTACTCATGGTTTTTGCCATCAAGATTGAACAGTATTTAATGGTACTCTGGAATCAGTGATAAGCCTAAAGTGTAAATATAAAAAAGACAGAAATGAGTCTAAGAGGAACAGAAGGAGAAAGTAGGAAAGTATTCAGAAAGAGAAAAAATCTTCAATAGGTTGTGTATATGGCAGGATCAAATTTAACACAGTACAAACATTAGTGTGCAGTAAGTGAGAGTGGTGTTCTTTATTTTTTCTAACTGACTTCATTGCCTTCCCAGTCCCCTTTCTATTTTGGTTGTGAGTGGGGTTGAAGACAGTGGAAGGTGAGAGGGCAGGATTTAAACTGGCCACCTAAAAGTAATTCAGTTCATTCTGATTTAAAGTAAAAGATGTCTTTTTAGTTGACCTAGTTTGTTTTAGGAAATCCTCAGTTTTTCAAGCCTTTCTCCCCTTCCCCTCAGAAAGGTATCCCACTATAAGAAAAAGCTTGTATATCCTCCTGGTGGTAGAGGAGGGTAGCTAGACCTTGTGTTGTCCTCTGGGCTCTTGATGGCCTCTTTAACAATGTTTCATATTTCGTGAGTCCTGAACATGCTGGTGACCTCTCCTGTTGAAGTCACTGCTTAAGGAACTTATGGTCTGTTTTCTTAGCAAAGTCAAGGTTCTCTGGTCCTTCCTTCACTAACTTGGCTGAGCTTTAGACTCATTGTTGATGAGGTCCTTTGAGTCTCAGTCAAGTGTTCTATCAGTCCCCAAACTGTGCTATCTCATAGCCTCTGTTAAGCATTATATTTCCCTTGATTTGGTGACCCATTCACTTCTATCTCTGACTCACTAGGAGTATGTGGAATAGCTGAATATCTTCCATATCATGCCAAAAGCCAAAGCGGGCAAAGGGGTATTTCCAGCCCTCTCTCTGCCTAAACACACCATACCACAATATCTGGTGACAATGGCATTGCTGTCTGGGCACCCTATAAGATGGCAACATTACAGAGTTCCAAATGGAAGCAAGACACAAGTACTCCTTAATTTTTTTATACCCTCGCTCCCATCCCACCAACATACCTTCTATTTTACCTCCTTTCAAGGTTTGACTTAGAGAGACGAGTTGGAAATAGACTTAGATAGGGATGGGGCGTTTGACAGCAAAAACAATTAAACCTACTTTCTTTAGAAAGAGAGAGATGAAAGGAGGGAGGAAAAGAGGGTGGGAGGAAGGGAGAGAGGAAGAGAGAAAGAGAAATAGATAAAGATAGATTAAAAAAGAAAGGTATATCTTTATCTCTCGCTCTCCAAGTTGCATTTTCTTAAGTTTCCCTGATATGGGGCTTCCCTGATAGCTCAGTTGGTAAGGAATCTGCATGCAATGCAGGAGACTCCAGTTCAATTCCTGGGTCGGGAAGATCCACCGGAGAATGGATAGGCTACCCACTCCAGTATTCCTGGGCCTCCCTTGTGACTTAGCTGGCAAAGAATCCGCCCGCAATGTGGGAGACCTGATTCAGTCCCTGGGTTGGGAAGATCCCCTGGAGAAGGGAAAGGGTACCCACTCCAGTATTCTTGCCTGGAGAATTCCATGGACTATACAATCCATGGGTCGCAAAGAGTTGGACACGACTGAGTGACTTTCACTTTCACTTTCAAGCCATAAAGTAGACTTTTCCTGTCCTTTTCTAATCAAATGTGGGTGAAAAAGAAAGAGGAAAGGAGCTTCCCTATGTCATCCTTTGGTCTTTCAACCCTCTAGTTTATTATTTAATGTCAGATGTTCAAGTTTGCTTTGTAAAAGTAGTTTCTGAAAATTAAAAATATGCTTTTTTTCCCTTTGAGTGATATACATTCTATGATTTGAATAGGGAAAAGTTTCACAGGAGAAAAAAAAAATGAAGTCCCTCAGTCGTGTGCAACTATTTGTGACCCCATGGATTGTAGCTTATCAGGCTCCTCCGTCCGTGGGATTTTCCAGGCAAGAGTACTGGAGTGGGTTGCCATTTCCTTTTCCAGAGGATATTCCCGACCCAGGGATCGAACCTGGGTCTCCTGCATTGTAGGCAGACGCTTTACCATCTGAGCGACCAGGGAAGTTCACAGAAGAAAGGAAATATGAAAAAGAAAAATACGCTAGTACAATTTAAAATATTTTACCTGTGCAATACATTTCAACATGACAGAATGTTGCTTTAAGGGTGAAAAGACTTTGACCTAGCTCTCATGTTTTTATGGAGATGGGTATTCCTAATCTATAAGGCAAATCAGAAAAGTGTTTTTTTATGAAACTTAAACAGTCTCATGAATTCCATTTCTCTGTGAGTGGAATTTTGCCTTATCTTTAGCTAATAGCAAAGGTGCATCATAGTGAAATCTTAGCTGGTTTTGAAACCTTTCAAAGGTAAGATGGATGGTACATTAACTCTCAAATTATCTCCTAGTATCTTATTTCCTAATCATTTGATAAGGAGTTCTGCTACTCTCCAATGTATGGTCCAATATAATTTAAATTATTTTATCTTGGCAGATGTTTTCTATTTTGGGTTTATTTATCTTGGCCATATTGATGTGGATTTTAATAAACTTTCCTAAAGGGGAGGTAGAATTTATTGCTTGAGGTTAGTTATGAAATGCAGAACAAGAGAATAGTCATTCAGTGATTTTTATGAGCATAGGCAGTGAATCCAGTTAGAGTTAAAAAGGGAAACCAACCCTACTTTTGTCTCAGAGGTAGCTATTAAAATGTGTCAAGCACCTCTGTATGGCTGACAGAGTTCTAAGTATTTTCGTATATGTTACTTTATACTCAAAGAAGCTCTATGGGACAGACAGGATCACCTTCATCTCATATACCAGAAAACTGGGACTCCCAAGAAGTTGTGTTATTTACCTATATTCCAGTAGGTAATAAATAGTAGAGAACAATATTCAAACCCATGTGTTCTTACTTCAACCATAGTAATTTTCTCATTTCACTGATGCTGCTGCTGCTAAGTTGCTTCAGTTGTGTACGACTCTGTGCAACCCCATAGACGGCAGCCCACCAGGCTCCGCCATCCCTGGGATTTTCCAGGCAAGAGTACTGGAGTGGGTTGCCATTGCCTTCTCCTTCTCATTTCACTAGAACTGCCTATTTCTTTCATAAGAATGATACACTGAAAACTGTATAATATTAAGAATGCACTGTCCCTTTTAGAAATTTATGGTGTGTATGTTTATTCCTCCAAAAAGGTTTAAAGGAAGTGAGCTTAATTCTAACCATATTGAATGTCTACGTAAATTTATATAGGTTCCAGGGGTCTTGAATATTCCTGTCCCCCCCAAAAAAGATCTATAATGCATAGGCAAAATAAATGAAACATTTTAGAACTAGTAAGAATTTTCATATTTATCTCTCTTTCCTTAAGGAGAGATGGTAAATATCAGAGACCTGGACAGCATACTAGGAAACACGGGCATTGAACTCACCAAAGAAGAACTTGGAGAGCTGAGAAGAAACCTTCCCGTTAATGGTGACTCATTTTAGATATAAAGCATCCCTCAGGAAAGCTTGATCTTGAGGTTTATATATGAGTATTTCTGAGACCAGATTCATTTTATGATGATAAAAAAAAACTTGCAAAATTTCAGAAAAAATCCAATTCTAGAGAACAAATCCTGTCTTCATTTTCTAAATCCAGATAAAACACAAAGCACTTGTCTAGATTAATTCCAAGATCATCTTTCATATCTGTGAATATGTTCAGGAAGCAAAATTAAAAGGTGGAAAAGGAAATGAAAGACTGAAATTGTACATCCTTTCCACATTTCCCATTCACTTCTGTATTCTGACTTAACTTCTTAATTCTGACTGTGGCTCCTTAACATTACTGAAACTTCTCTAAGGACATAAGTTGCTTACTATTTGTCAGTTACATTAGACTTTATCCAGTCTGTTTTTATTGGAGCTTTCTACTGTCTTTGATATTGATGATAATTCTGACCTTGAGATTATGTTCTTTTGGCTTCTGTATTATTCCCCCCACCTGAATCTTCCCATTCCTCTCTGATTTTCATCCAATATAATTTAAATTATTTTATCTTGGCAGATGTTTTCTATTTTGGGTTTATTTATCTTGGCCATATTGATGTGGATTTTAATAAACTTTCCTAAAGGGGAGGTAGAATTTATTGCTTGAGGTTAGTTATGAAATGCAGAACAAGAGAATAGTCATTCAGTGATATTTATGAGCATAGGCAGTGAATCCAGTTAGAGTTAAAAAGGGAAACCAACCCTACTTTTGTCTCAGAGGTAGCTATTAAAATGTGTCAAGCACCTCTGTATGGCTGACAGAGTTCTAAGTATTTTCGTATATGTTACTTTATACTCAAAGAAGCTCTATGGGACAGACAGGATCACCTTCACCTCATATACCAGAAAACTGGGACTCCCAAGAAGTTGTGTTATTTACCTACATTCCAGTAGGTAATAAATAGTAGAGAACAATATTCAAACCCATGTGTTCTTACTTCAACCATAGTAATTTTCTCATTTCACTGATGCTGCTGCTGCTAAGTTGCTTCAGTTGTGTACGACTCTGTGCAACCCCATAGACGGCAGCCCACCAGGCTCCGCCGTCCCTGGGATTTTCCAGGCAAGAGTACTGGAGTGGGTTGCCATTGCCTTCTCCTTCTCATTTCACTAGAACTGCCTATTTCTTTCATAAGAATGATACACTGAAAACTATATAATATTAAGAATGCACTGTTCCTTTTAGAAATTTATGGTGTGTATGTTTATTCCTCCAAAAAGGTTTAAAGGAAGTGAGCTTAATTCTAACCATATTGAATGTCTACGTAAATTTATATAGGTTCCAGGGGTCTTGAATATTCCTGTCCCCCCAAAAAAAGATCTATAATGCATAGGCAAAATAAATGAAACATTTTAGAACTAGTAAGAATTTTCATATTTATCTCTCTTTCCTTAAGGAGAGATGGTAAATATCAGAGACCTGGACAGCATACTAGGAAACACGGGCATTGAACTCACCAAAGAAGAACTTGGAGAGCTGAGAAGAAACCTTCCCGTTAATGGTGACTCATTTTAGATATAAAGCATCCCTCAGGAAAGCTTGATCTTGAGGTTTATATATGAGTATTTCTGAGACCAGATTCATTTTATGATGATAAAAAAAAACTTGCAAAATTTCAGAAAAAATCCAATTCTAGAGAACAAATCCTGTCTTCATTTTCTAAATCCAGATAAAACACAAAGCACTTGTCTAGATTAATTCCAAGATCATCTTTCATATCTGTGAATATGTTCAGGAAGCAAAATTAAAAGGTGGAAAAGGAAATGAAAGACTGAAATTGTACATCCTTCCCACATTTCCCATTCACTTCTGTATTCTGACTTAACTTCTTAATTCTGACTGTGGCTCCTTAACATTACTGAAACTTCTCTAAGGACATAAGTTGCTTACTATTTGTCAGTTACATTAGACTTTATCCAGTCTGTTTTTATTGGAGCTTTCTACTGTCTTTGATATTGATGATAATTCTGACCTTGAGATTATGTTCTTTTGGCTTCTGTATTATTCCCCCCACCTGAATCTTCCCATTCCTCTCTGATTTTCGTTTTATATACTCTCTCTGGATAATCTCATCATTATCCATGGTTTTACCTGTCCCCTACCTGCTTTATGCCTTTCAAATCTCATTTCTACACAGACTCTCTCCTGGGCTTCAAAATGGTATGTCCAAATGCCTGTTAAACATTTCCCCTTGGATACTGCACAGGAGGGTTTTTTTCCCTCAACTTATTTAAAATTGAATTTGCTATATTCTGCTCAGTCTTCTAGTCCTGTGTTCTCTCTCATTTGAGTTATCAGTATCACTGTCTAGTCACCTAAGCTAGATATATGGGATTCATTTTTTTATTCTCCAATGTTTCCATTCTGTCACTTAATCTTGCATTTTACATCTATCTATATAAACCTAAATTTCAAAAATACCATACATAGATGAATAGATGTATGGTTATGTGACAAACCAAGTATAGTAAAATGTTAATAGTAGAATCTAGATGGTGGACATTCATTGCACAATTTTTTCAACTTTGCTGTATGTTTACAAATTTTCATAACAAAATGCTGAAAAAATTCCATATTTAATTTCTTCAGCATCTCTCTGTTCTTGCTACCATGGCCATATTTTAGGTCCTTTTTTTTTCCAACTTTGCATACTACAGTGGCTTCCACAATGTAGCCTTCACAGTGATCCATATAAAATGCAAATATGATGATATTATGCCTCAATTTAAAATCTTTTATTGGTTTTCAGTAATGTACTAGGAAATGTCTCAAGTGCCTTCATGTGGTAAACAAATAAACTTCATGATTTGGACCCTGCTTGTCTATCTAGTCTAGTATTTTACCCTCAATAACATTGAACTTTTATTCCAGACAGACATATATCATGTTTTTAATCACAATTTTGCTTTGTTAATGCATTCCCCAGTATTCAGAGGGCCTCTCCTTCCCTTTTTCTGACTAACTTCTCCTCCTTGCATGTTAGAGCTGAGAGGCACCTTTTCTAAACAGCTTTTCCTTAACTGCCCAGGATATATTAAATACCTTGTCTCTGTTTTCACAACAACTGTACATATATTTTTTCATTGTTCTTGCTATACTGTATTGTATTAATATGTTTATATTTGCTATCTGGTAACTTTAATGTGAGCTTTAGGAAAAGAGGTACTATTTACCTTCAGGAAAGGGCTTACCATTCATTTTCCTATAGCCAGTACTTAGCAGAGTACCTGACATATAAATTGGCATTCCATAAAAGTTGATTGAGAGATGGACAAATAATTGAGTAAATGACTGGATAAATAACTGAGTAAAATGACTAAATGATTCCTAAAGAAAGCAAGTAACTGCTTTTGGTTAGGTCATGAATATTTACTTCTAGTATATTGTTACCATTTATCAGCAACAATTCTGAGTGACAAGAGAGATCAGTTAGGGATAGACTGGAGATAAAAATATGAACTTTTTCTGACCAGCAATCCATGCTTACAATTCATAGCTTTACCAGAGTTTAGAATCCTCAGGGAATTAACTTGCATGCCTGGTATTTCCTATCATGCTTATAAAGAGTTATTGGCCTAGTGAGAGCATATTTTACTCTGGGATGAACTTTATAGTCCAAGGGTCAAGGGCCAGCTTACTAAGATAGAATCAATCTCTGAAAACTAAGAATTATGCATTAAAATGAACCCAGTGGATAATGTGAATGTGGAGTAACAAAATTTAGCTAGCTTCTGAAATATTATTTGCAAATATTTTTTATGAATTTGCTTCCTATATCAGTTATGCCTTACTTATTTAATAGCTCAAGGGAAGACTGATCTGAAAATGCTGATGGATACAGTACAAGTTATTACAGGTTAGTAAGATGTTACTATAAATTTAAGATACTAATTCTTTACAGGAAGCTATATTTTTTCTCTGACAAATATTTTCCTGAAGTATGATGTGTATAATTACTGTTTCATATAATCATATTTATCTACCTTTAGAACTATTGCAAAGTGAACTTATCCATGTCACCCTGAATCAAGAAATAAATAGTATCAATAATCCAGAAGATCCCCTATAGCCACCTCCTTCATACTTTCTAGATGTTATTAAATCCTTTATTCTAGGATCACAGGTTTGTTTCATCTGTATTTGAACTTTATATAGATGGAACTATATGATTTATATTCCACTATATTTATTTCTGTATCTATTTCACTGCCTTCTTTCATTCAGCTTTATATTAAATGTTTTTCTCTGAGATTTATCCATATTGTTGCATGTGGCAGTGGTTTGTACTTTTTATTGCTGTATGTTATAAAATATACTAAATTATCAAGTAGAGATATTTAGAGAAAAACTTACTTTGGTAGGTGAAATGACTTCTAATTAATTCATTGTACCTGAATACAGTTCTGTGTAATATTCCATTGCATAAGTATACCCCAAAAATCTATTTAATATGCTCTCAAAGGACATTTCCAGTCTAGAGCAGTTACAAATAATTTATTTTTGCTATGAATATTCTTGTATATACCTCTTGCTGAACACATGTGCACAATTCTGTGGCCAGATACCTAAATGAAATTGCTTTGTCATAAGATAGGATTGTGTATACTTTATTAGATATTGTCCATTCATTTTCTTAAGTAGTTGTACCATTTTACATTCCAACCAGCAATATATGAGAGTTCCAATTGCTTTACATTCTAGCTAATATTTGATACAGTCTGTCCTTTCCATTTTAACTATTCTGGTGAGTACTTGGTAATATCCCACTGTGGTTATTTTTTGCATTTCCTTAAGGATTAATGATGTTGAGCACCTTTTTCATGTTTATTGGTTAATCCTTTATTCCCATGTTTATTTTGATAACTCCTTTTGTAAAGTTTCTGTTCATATCTGTTGTCTATTTGTCTTCTTGGATGCCTCTCTTTTAGTTATTAAATTTTCTATGTCCTGCATTTTACCTATAGTTTTTAATGTATTCTGGATACAAGTCCACTATAGATTATATAAATTGTAAA